ATGACATTAGAGAGAGGAAATAAACTCAAGACTGAAGGAAGGCTGTTTTGTTTGTTGGTTTTTTTAAAAACACAGTCAGCCAGTGCTTGGCATTTTTATTTATTTATAGATGAAATAATAAAGAAATGGAGAAATCTGCCAAAGGTCACTGAGAAGTGGCTGGAAAATGAAATTCTTGGCCCACAAAGTAAACATTTTTGCAATTATCTCTGAGATCTGGAGACAAAAACATATGAGAAGTCCTTCATGCTCCCTGCTACCAGTCTGCGAAGCCAGGGCAGGGGGGATGACTTCATTATGGACCTGGGAGCAAATGAGAGACCACCAGAGAATGATTACCACACAAGGAAACTGGGAAATAGGTACATGCATGTGTGTGTATGTACAGTTAACTAAGAATTTTAAGTAAATTGCCAAAATCAAAGGCAAAAAAGCCCTACAATTCCAGACCGTTTTATTCTGTTAAACACTTAACTGCTCCAATATGGATTTAATCTCCAGGTTAAAACAGTCCACTTCTAACTCAGCTCCAATCTTTATACCATAAGTCAAACAGCACATCTTGAAGCATAAATGTGCCAGTCTCCATATTTCAGGAACTTTGGAAGGAATCAAAGTATTCCTTTCATCTCTTTTCCTATCATCAAGAATCTACCTTCTCATAGGAGAAGCCTTTTTCTCCCCTCACTTGTGTCTTTTACCATCTAGAAGATTTAGGCAGAGAGAATGAGAGAAGCCGTCAGATTCTGTCTTGTCCCCTTTCATCTCCAGAGCTAACGAGGAAGTGCTTGGGGGCAGTAGGTAGCAAGGTTTCATCATATGGACTCTCATTATGCTAGTCTCTCCTCCTTCTTTACACTGGGACTCCTCTAGGTCGGGGACCTGAACAATGCCACCTTTGCCTCTCTGAGTTCTTGGCATAGAACAATATTTCATACAAGGTTGGTGAATGAGCAAATGAGTGAGTGCATGGGTGACGGTTTGGATAAACAGAGCCCGTGGGGAGCTCCATTATTGTATTTTTGCCATCAGAAGATATTTTCTGGGCTGTTACACTAATTAGGGCTAATATTCTCAGTTATTTTGAGGATTGCTTGAAATTTGCTGCTAATTTAAATAAAATGGTTACGTTTACTCATTAACCAATTAGCATGCTTCTCAGTTGCTTCACCTTACTAATTTGATTAGTTCCACTATGCTTTCTCCTAAGCAAGGCCTTCTCTGAGACCCGCTACTATCAACTCTCTCACAGTGGACATTATGAATGGCATTTGAGAAAAAGATCTCAAAGGGTTTGAGTATAGATGTGCGCCCAGTCTCTGTAGCCCAAGCCACCGTTGACGCAATAGATAATGATACAGACTAGACCATGTTGTAAGTGCCACAGTCTGAAGGAGATGCAATGCTAATGCAAAGGCTGCACCTCTCTGGAAGTTCAAATCTACCAGTGGCAACTCAGGAGAAACAGGGACAATTTTCTTTTGTGTGATTTATAGCCTGGAAACTCAATAGCAGGTCAGCTATGAGTCAGTTCTGACTAGATAACAATGAGTGAATCAGTGAGGTGAGTGATCTCTAGACTAAATACAGTCTGTAAGGAAAACGACACTTTCCAAAAGCTGAACTCTGTGAAAGGCAGTGTGTCAAGTGTTTGATAAATTGTTGTTGTTATGTGTCATTGAGTCACCTGTGGCTCATAGTGACCCTGTGGACAGCAGCTCTGAACCCTGCCCTGTCCTGAGCCAGTCTCACTGATTTCAACACACCTACTCCCATCGCCCCGGTCACTCAATCCATCTCATCTGGGGTATTCCTCTCCTGCATTGTCTCTCCACCCTTCTGAGCATGATGTCCCTCTCCAAGGTTTGCTAAATAAGTGAATGAATAAACTGCAGGAAGAGAAACTAGAAGTCAAAATACTGGTCTCCTTCCTAGTCCTAAAATCCCTGGAATGAAGCTCACACATAGCCACACTTCTTAAGAGGAAGAATCCATGCCTGGCTGAGGTGAAGGTTTGAGTATTAAGAAAAAAGAATTGTCTCCAGTTATGGAATATAAACTTCACGAGGGCAGAGACTTCTATCCAATTCCTAACTGTCCTCTAGGATCAAGACATGTCTGACACACAGTAGACAGATGTTATCTGATATTCTTTTAAATAATTAATGAATCCTTGAAGCAGGAGTGGCATCCACTTCCTAAACAACATGCCTCTGGGAACTCTATGAACTTTGATAAATGACGATAGTTATAGGAAGTTTTCAGGCCTTTTGTTCGTAGGGTTGCTGTGCATAAAGCTCAACTCAACACCAATCAACAACAATTAGTGAATGAAAGTCATAGAATTGTAGGTTAAGCATTCCCTTCACATGTACCATAGTTTATTTTTCTGAGGCAGGGAAAGAAATGTGAAGATTAAAGACACATGGAAACAATTAAGCCATTCACTACCTTTTCTGATAAAGGGCATTCCAGATGCATACCTCCCGAGATAGATACTTCCTTTTCTATCCTGCCCATGAGCCAATGAAGACTTGAGAGCTGGCAGATACTTTTTGGAAAGTATTTTCAGCTAGAAACCCTGCCTCCTCACTTTCTCATCCATTCCTTGTGGATGGATGAACTCTAGCCATGGCTTGGGGGTGTCATGGATGTAGAACGTCAGGATGACTGACTCCCCTGCATCTCCTAGTTCACTGGACAGGACAAGCTCAACAAAGTCCTGCCAAAACCCCACTTCCTTATTGTGGAAAATGTATCTGGACTGAAGGCTGGTCTCAAATCTCTTAATATCTAGGTACTGACTGATACCTTAGCCACAAGGCTGATGATGGAAGAGGGCAACTAGGAACTAATCCAGTAAGATGCAGTTGTAGGGTTCTTTTGGTTTTGAGGGTGAGTAAGTTAGGGACCTCTCCAAATTCTAGTGCCCAGATAAGCAATCAACCCTGTGTAATCCTATTTTGATCTATTAAAAGCAAATTCACTCAACATTTCCTTGATCAGAAGTATTAAGGCAGAGAGGAAATTTACAAAAAAAGATCAAAGGTCTTGAACTGACCAAGTCCACATTCAAGAAAACTTGTACATATTTTGCGTTGAAAATCCAGATGCCCAATAGCATTGGTTATCAGAGAAATGCAAATGAATGCAATTTAATGCAAGTGAAAACGAAAATATAATACCACTAACCTGTCATGCTTCATGATGGCTATAATTAAAAAGACAAACAATAATATCAAGTGTTGATAAGGATGTGGAACAATCAGACTTCTAAGATACTGCTGGTGGGAGTGCAAATTGATGCAACTGCTTTGGGAAGCTATTTAGTCGTGTTTATTAAAGCTAATAATTGACTTAGCAATTCTACCCCAACATGTGTATCCAGCAGAAATGACTGCATATATGCACCAAAAGAAAGGGGCAAAGATGTTCCCAGCAGGTGTCAACAATACAGATGTCATTAATGATAAAAGAGATGAGTTATGGTTATATTAAGGAAATAAAATCCCACTTAGTAATGAAAAGAAAAACAACGCAAAAGAGAAATAAAAAACTCGAGTGAGTGGACACACATGATGCTACTTATATAAAGTTCAACACAAGTACTATGCTGCATGAATAAATGATAAAGAACTCGAAAAACACTGCATCACGTGGATGAAATCTAGAGGGCCTTATGTTCAGTTCAATAGGTTCCCCCACAAAACTATAAATGTTATATAAGACTTCTCTTATAGAATGCTAAAGAAAGGGTTACAAACAGATCAAATCATTCATCTATAGTTACCAGGGATGAGGAAGGAGGGAGAGGGCAGTAAAAATTGATAAACGTAATAATAGAGCCTTATTAATAGGGTGAAGGGAAAGGCCATATATAATAAGGAGATGATCAGACCTCGTGGGTATTATAACATTATAATTAGTCTTATAAGGTAAAATGTGTAGAATGATTGAATGGAAAGCCAATATGCTCTGTAAACGTTCGCTTAAATCACAATAAAAAATTAGGCAATTATGTTTTATTCTCTGAGTGCTAGTTATATGCGTGAGCTTCCTCTGCGAAAATTCATTAGGCTGTATGGTTGTAATTTGTGTGTTTTCTGTAAGTATGTGATGATTCAATAAAATTGTTTTCATGAAAATAGTCTCCAATTAAATGACATAGTAGTGTAATTCTGAAGAATGAATCAATATGGTATAATTTGTTGAACCGCAATTGGTATCACAGAAGCTCAGTCCACAAAAAGATGAGGTGTACATATAATGGACAATCACGTGGAAGTCTTAGAATTCTTACACAGACAACACAAATATCATCATGTTCTCTGCTTATCTGCAGGTAATAACACTTGGAAATACTACATTGAGATACTAAATATATACTTGTATCACTGTGTAGTTTTGGAGTTAAAAGTAGTAAACTATCAATTTTCAGAACATGTCAGTCTATGGTATTTGACATGAAGAGTTGTTCCCTGTGCTTAGTTGAATAGACTATTTCTCTTACTGTGTCTTGGCATACTCTTTGGGTATCTGAGACATAGACTATGGAATTCTTATTTCCTTTCATTTTCCAATGAGAGAAAGTACTAAGAACTGGAAAGGAGTCCCAAAGCTATAAATTTGGCCATGAAAGTAAAGGACAGAGCCTTAGGTTCCTGAAACATATACTGAGGGTGTTTTGAGCTACCGAGGTGCTTGGGGACCACTGGATTCCTCTCATTAGGATACAGCTGCCAGAAGCAAGGTGGTCATCTACCTGTAACCTTTTCAAGGATTTATCTTTAGAAATTCTCTCCTTCTGTCCCACTCCGTCCTAGCATCTCCTTCCCTAGCTTTCTTCCAAGTAGGCAAGCAAGATCATCCCATTTATTTCTGAGGACACTTGCTAGTGAACAGTTTCTTAGCTTTTGAACCCAGAGTGGCCATACCAGAGTCCAGTCATCCTTCCCCCACCTGTGCGCACAGTCTGACATGGGCTATCTCAGAGGACTCACCTGTGGCGTCATTCCGTGGCAGATGTACATGATGGGAACATTCTCAGTGTCTGGTCCCTGATCAAGACACAAATCAGTCTTCAGAGAATTCTGCAGCTGAACACCAAAGGAGAAATGATGCACCAAAGAAAAAGAAACAGAAAGCAAATGCATTAAGTCAGGAGAAACAAGAATTTCCCTGGACAAGCTCTATATCTATAATAAACCCAAAGTGCCTTAAATCTTATAGAAAGCAATGAGCACCAGCTTTTGCCTTGACTTAAGGAGCTGAGGGAAGACCACTTTTCTGTGGAAGGACTCCGTATGCATCTAGTTAAATAGCAAGCCCTGTTTTGAGAGCAGAAACAAGGTAAAAACAAAAGACACACACACACACACACACACACACACACACACACACACACACACACACTCCATGGTGCCGGGCTCTTAAACCTTTCCACAGAGGTAGCACAACGGCCTTTATTGGACCCTGGAAATAGGACTTGTCTCTAGGGACTGGGGCAGAGCATGTAACATATAAGTGATTTTCAGGTCTAGGACACCAGGTTCTCCCTGCTTCCTGGAAATTCAGCAGTGAGGTGGCCATTAGCAGCAAAAGGTGTCCTGAATGGGAGGTCGGATAGAAGAATAAGAGAAAAATATTCCTTTACTTTCCCTTATGTGCCTATTGCCTCATAGACTTGGCAATGAATAGAACATTCTAGGTAAGAATGTTAATATCACACTTGCCCTTCTGGCTTAAATTTCTTCTTAACCCTTGGAAAGGGCAGCCTATTGTCCATATGGCCCTCCTCACCAGTCAGCTGCACAGACCAGCTGCCCCCATCCTCATCACAGGGGGATTAAGCCCCCATCCACAGTTAATGCCGAGTTATTAATTTTCACATCATGCCACCCCTCCATCCTCTCTCTCTCGAGTTTGATAAACTCATTATTTCTATTTTAAATTATTTTATTACTTTTTGTGTGCTTACCATCTAATTGGATCTGACAGGTACCGGAGGAGATTGCCCCTCCTCCAGGAGAGCATCTGGTAGATTTGAACCATGTACTCTGGGATTGCAGTGCAGCTTCTTGCCACTAGGCCACGAGAGCTCCCTGACCACCTCACCATTCTTTAATACTGTCTTAGGCATTTAAATGAGAGAAGGAGTCTGCAGTCAATGGGTGGAGCTTTCTTGAATTGTGAAATCACTTATGGTGGAGGGGAAGATCTACTGAGATATATGCAAATCGTTGTGATCAAGGAGAGATGAAGCTGGAGGCAGACAGACAAGAGTGAATAGTCAGCCCTGACTGTGGCTCCTGTGGTCTCCCAGCTGGAAGGCATTCGTAAATTCCTGCACCCAGAGTAAAGCCTTGGTGGCTACCTTTTACCTTCTTCAAATCAAGCTGGAGGAAATGTTTTTCTCCTTAGCAATCAAAACCCTTTGTCAGGATATGAGTTGGGGAACAGAGGAGACAAGGGCCAGTGGACTACAGTTGGGGTGTCTACCTGCGAGAAAGTCATAAGACATGGTTGAATTTTTAATTCTGAAGTTTATCGCAGGAGTGGAATGAACTCAATTATGGGGCATGAAAGGGAACAGATAACCAGAGACATGCACGTGTTCTGTGCATATCCTGCTCTCAACAGGGGACAAAGAACAAAGTCCTCTGTCCTGAACTTGTTTTCCTCTATGGGGTGAAAGCAGATTAATTCTAAATTCATAGAGATTCTATGGCACTGGCCCCAGGCAGGAGTCCCAGAAGGATCTACGCTGTAATGCCTCCTCTGTAAACCTACTGCTTGACTTGCTGGTGTGGGAGAAGCTTATGGAAACACTCTCTGGACTTCTGCTGAGGGCAGGGGGCACGGGTGGGTGTCACATCGGAAGCCAGTGAGACCAGCTGTTATTGCCAGAGGGTTCTGATGCCAGACTCACCTTTCACGTGGATTTCTAAGCCTTGTTTGTGGGGGAAGGGGTCTGTGCTTTTTGATAAGTGGCCCCTGTCTCTACATCACCCCTCACCCATTAAGCAGGTGGCCTGTTGAAGTGGATGAGACAGGCCAGGGTGGAATTCTGGCTCCAGCTGTGGTCTTAGACAAAGTTACCTAATTCCTTTTTCTGTCTGTTCTCTTCTTTCTAAAATAGGGATAATCACAGTGCCGACCTCACAGAGCTGTGATGAGGATTAAGAGAAACAATACTTACAAGTGCTTAGTGCAGGCACTGGCAAATAGCAAATGAGCAATAATTGTTAGCTGCTATTATTACTGTTGTAACCTTTCCGAGAGCCATTTGGGGAATTGGCTTTATAAATACAGCTATGTGCCAGGTACCAGAGAAAGCACATTCTATGTGTTATCACATCTAATCTTCAAACTACTCCAGGCAGGTGCATAATATTAGCTCTTTGGAGGATGAAGGAGCTGTGGTGTCATAACGGCTCTGCCCCATCTTGCTCCTGCGTTTGTCATGCTATTCCTGTTGTGAGAATTCCTCTCCATGCTGCCTGACCCCTCTTTACCTGACTAAGATTCTCTTTCTTTAGGGCCTCAGATTATTTTTCAATTTGGAAACCTTCTTTCATCAAGGCTGGGTGTGAAACCTATTCTGTGCCTCACTGGTACACTCTATTTCTTTTATTACAGAATTTACAGAAACCAAATTAAAACACTAAACTAGTTGTCATAGAGTTGATTCAGACAAGGGTGACTGCATGGTTGTCAGTGTGGAACTGTATTCCATAGAATTTTCAAGGACTAATTTTTTAGAGGTCAGAAAATCAAAAGGACAGAACTCGTTC